TATACTATACTATACTATACCATATAGTATATAGTGTCTCAACCAATGACAGATTTTTTTTCTGTTTGGGTTGCTGCTGCTGTGCAGACATTTACATAGGCATTTTTTTTTATTTTAAAACTCTTCCTGATGGTGGGCTGGACAGAAGTATATAGAAGTTGTCTGTAAGCCCTGCAGTGCTGACCTCTCTTACAGGAGTAGTCTAAATATGTTTGAGTCATAATAAAATTTGTACATAATAATGATATTATTAGTGATAAATTAAAAAAAATCTTGAGATTAATTGCAATTAATAAATTATATTTGCTTAGCACTAAAATATATACTATGTATATTTATATAACTATGTGTACTGTACATTCGTTTTTCATTCTCAAATACATTATTTATAAGCACACACATGCATTGCAAATTCTCTCCAATACAGGAGTAAATAGAAATCCTACAAAGCAGCCACTTCCCTCTAAATGAAAACAGATGGATTGTCTTCAAGTCCTCAGAGCTGGAAAGTGGGACCAGTCAGGGAGTTTTTGACCCTGGTCTGAATAATTTTTTTAATTTGTACCTATTTGCACATTCGGATGCCATGATTCATTCATTTATTGTCTGAAACCCTTCGAAATTCACGTCTTTCAGGATTTACAGTGGATGAATAAAACTTGTTTGGTTGCAGTGAGATGCACTTGTCACACTTTGGCCAGTGCTGGGGTGGGTTGGCTGTAGTTTTATTTAGTGTTTGACTCTGGCCATCAGCCATGGCCTTGGTGTGACACCAAACGCAGAATGAACTTTCACACACATGCATCTGCTGGCTCAGGTTTTTATTATTAAGCTGAGCGGTAGGAATACTGCAAACGTGTAGAGAGAAAGAGCTCTTAAAAAGATGTTAAAGTTAATAAAGGCCTGTTTTCCTTAACTAACTAAACTTGGCTACATTTGTTGCTAATGAAAACGTACATTTTGGGGCATTGAATTGTACATGAGAACTTGTCTTGCAGCTGTGACTCRGCAGCCTCCCACAGAGCTACACTAAACACACAGGATGTATGCTCCCTGGCTTTTCTCGGGATTTCTGCTGCACCGATGGACCTTTTTGTTGTTGCTCTGAATAGCACTGTCCTGCTGAGGCCTAATAGACCACCGGTGGTCCATTAATCTCAGCGAGGCAGGCAAAACGTGCCCTCACCTCCTGCATCCACAGGATATGAGATGCTGATCAGATTTCTATAATCAATTTAGCAGAGCAGGAGGTATAAATCCTGTCCATTCACTCATTCTCCTCCGTCTCTCCCTCTCGCTCAACTCCTCCTCCCTTCAGCTCCCTGCTTATAGTTAAATGAATAATTCAGCAGCCAATGTGGTGAAAGGTGGAGTAAACAAGTCTATTCCCTAATATCCCGAGAGGCTGCCAAAGAGAGACGGGCGAGGGCAGAGAGCTCGCAGAGATAAGGGGAAAATGCAACACAGAAGGAGGATATCTGCGAAGAATGGACATTCAGAGGCTTTCCTCATGACCCGCAGTCATTTGCACTTAGATTGAGTCAAAAGTCGCACCAAGATGGCACAGCTGGCTTCTAGTGCTCCGCTCTCCTGAGCTTCACATCGGCAACCATTAATAATGAAATCATGCGGTGAAACACAACACCTGTGACACGGGGCCGAACAAGTTCAGGGTCTTTGCCTCTCTGAGACGAGAGTTACCAAAACAAACAACAAACAAATAAAAATAAAAAAAACAGGGCAAAAAGAAAAAAAAAGCAGCACTTCAGGATACTGTGGAAAACAAGACGTGACTTTCTGTCCTTTTTCTAAATGTCACAAAGAGTACCTCCATTCAGGTTTAGAGTGCGGAGTAAGTAGCATTTATTTTGACACCATCAGGTACACAGGGAGTACGACTCAACGCGGGCCACATACAAATGAGAGCTACAGCTTTTTGTGCCCACAGAAAATCAAATGCAGAGAGAATTCAGAGGACACCGGGTGCTTACATAACGAGCAAATGTAATCTCACACCAGATTTATATTCATCGATTGCGAGAGCAGAACTGCTGATTGATGACTCATCCAAAATTCAATTATCACCCTAAACAGTTTTATCTGGAAATTAGATTAGAGGTTTAGTTTATKTTTTTATTTATTTATTTGAATTTTTAGCACCTTGTCATTCAGCAAAGCATTTCTGCTCATATTTGTTCTCCGACTTGGAAAGATTTGGAGGACGGCTGCACTTTTCTCTGAGTCAGGCGGAGGCGAGTCACCAGCATGAGTCTGCACCTAATTACTGGGAGCAGCGGGCTCGGTGGGTGCGCTTTGAGGTGAACACTGCGTGGCATCCGTGTGTGTCTGTGTGCTGCAGGGAGAGCTGTACTCACCGGCATGGTCTGGCTGCCGTGCAGGGTGCCGATTGCAGACTGAGCTTCGGTGTGTGTGGAGAACTTAACAAACGCGCAACCTGGAAGAGAGAACAGATGCATGACATGGTGCGCACAAGCAGACACACACACACACACACACACACACACACACACACACACACACACACAC